AATGAAAGCAGAATAATACTTAGCTCATTAAAAGGATTTAGAAAATGTTAATATTAAGTTTATAAATATTTTATAACTTAGTGGGCTTTTGAAAAAACACTTTTTTATTTTGACTAAAATACGCGCTCTCGGTAAATATACATTATTTTTAAAAAATAAATGCAGAATCATGTTTAGCTTTTCAGGGAATTCAAAAAATGGTAGTATTCCAATGACATATATAATACCTAGACTGCGATTTATTCATTAAAATGCATTTTAAGCGTCGTTAAAAGCAAATCAGCTGGACCCGCCATTTACACATATAGTAATTATTCTCATGTTAAAAAATACTATTAAATTGATAACTTGCTTCCTTATTATCTCGATGATCCGATAATTCTTTAATAAAGTTTGCATCAGATATAGGAATAAATTAGGCACTCGTTTAAAATTTTAATAATGATTAGTGTAATCAAGATGGCGTATCCAGCTGATTTGTATTGATGTACACTTTTAATGAATGAATCGTCAGTCTAGGTATTATATGTCATTGTCTATCTCATAAAACTATTTTAAAAAAAAACTGTCAGCTGTTAAATCGTGAATCGTAATCGCTACTAGAGATCTACAAATCCCACCATGGCCGGGTTTTGAAAATAATTTCGGTCTGGGGCTGAATTGGGCTTAAAAAAAATTTGGACCGGACTATAAAGGGGTTAAAATTTTAAATTATTATAAATATATTTGTAATTCAATTTTCGCGAAAATATAAATTTATATATTTTAAAATTCATGCAAGTAATGGCGGCAATATTTTTTTGTAAAATTATTTTTCTACATTTTTAAACAAATTCGGAGCTGGTAAAAATAATTTTTATTTCCGGTTTAACTTTTTAGGACAAATTTAAAATAAAAATTGGTTCGAGATAGGGTAGGGGTAGGGAAAATTTTTAAAAAAGAATTTAGGGTCGGGCGGAAGGTCCGATGTAAATCATAAAATAAAAATGTTATCTGAATGTTAGTTAAAATTGCATTACTTAGAAAGAAAAGAAAGAAAGAAAGAAAGAAAGAAAGAAAGAAAGAAAAAAAAAGAAAGAAAGAAAGAAAGAAAGAAAGAAAGAAAGAAAGAAAGAAAGAAAGAAAGAAAGAAAGAAAGAAAGAAAGAAAGAAAGAAAGAAAGAAAGAAAGAAAGAAAGAAAGAAAGAAAGAAAGAAAGAAAGAAAAAGAAAGAAAGAAAGAAAGGAAAGAAAGAAGAGAAAAGAAAAGAAAAGAAAAGAAAGAAAAGAAAAGAAAAGAAAAGAAAAGAAAAGAAAAGAAAAGAAAAGAAAAGAAAAGAAAAAGAAAAGGAAGAAAGATTTATTACTTGCGCAACTTCTGGGATATTGTGTCAGCCGAACATGTAGACAATTTTCTTAGCCTGTCAATCTTTGGACGACTGGCCATGACCCCGCCATCATCATATCTACAATTTGTATCGTAATCGTGCTTGCATCCAAAACTGTTGAATAGATATAAAATACAGTTAAACTTGCCTAATTTTTGATTGATAATTCGGGCACCTCAACTAATTCGAACAAAATCTTAAGTACCAATAAAATTCGTGTAAAATACTATGTATTAGAAAAATGTTTTCATAAATTTGGCAAATGTCAAGTTGGGTAAAAATGCAGGTTTTACTGTAAACATATCAGATACCTGCAGAGGTTTCATTTGCACAGCGGTCCGCCCCAGTTTAGCCCAGCCAATGCCCGGGTTTTCATATCATAAATATAAATATAAAAAAAATATTTTTATTTTTCTAAAATATCGAGATTCAAAATATTCGGCTTCAAAATATTCGACCCGACACTGATATATTTAAAAAAAAAATATAATACAGCCCAGCTCGGCCCGTACTCGGACCGGACTTAGAGTGCCCCGGGAATGGCCTGCAGAATTAGAGGTTGTTGGAAATTATTTTACTATGAACATAATCAGGTCTTTACCTAGTTAAGCCATTAAAAACTATAAAAAGGAAAAGATGCAATCAATTCAATTCCGAATTAATTCTAGGCTAGGAATAAAACAAACTACATGGCTACTATATAATATTGTGTAACTTCTACAATGACCTGAAGAGAGAATATAAAAAATTTAGTTTTCACCAAAATAACAAAGCAAAAATTCATATTTTTAAGGCTGCTTTCTACAGATGATTTGCTTTTCTTTAGCGATAAAATGTGATAAGAATAAGATTAAGATAAGGGATAGTTGCTTATACATACATTAATGTTAACGAAAAGTTGATCTATGGACTCAGGATATTAAACCTTTTTCAAATATTTTAATATTCTAATTCATTATAAATTTGTTTCTTTTGGTTTATGTCGTCATTTTGTTGCCGTCTTTCTAAATAAACATATATAATACGTAATTTACGCGTGCCCTATCTCGTGCGCCATTATGAAGCCGCTATCAAGGCCGGTGTATTGTATGGTAGCGACACTGTTAGCAGTACATATACCTCCTACTATGCCATATCCTTTTTTTTAAAAAATAAAATAAAAATTTCTAAGTAACTACTCAATTATTAGGCCACGCATACTAACACTTCACTTTTTCGAGGCGGATCCTTAGGTACGCTTCCTTATGTTTCAAGGGTAGGTAGCCGAAATTTCTAAACCTTTCAGAAGTTGTCAACATTTTAGGAGTTGACTAGAATGAGACCCATATGTATTATTCATAATTTATATCAAGTTAGAAATGGGAAAGCATGTATGATTGAATAATATTTTAAAAAGATGGCAACATGAAATAGGATCCCAGAAATGTCTGAAGATATCAGAACTGCAAGAAGAAGAAAAAAAGAAAATTAAATCCTTAGAATGTATTATTAAATAATTAAAACATTATATAGTTGGTAAGATTTTATTTGCGATATAAAAAGCCGAATCTATCCACTACCCTTGGGTAATGAATCGGTCAGCTCAACTTCCTTCTATAGGCACGTTTGTAAAAAATAGGGCTAAGCATTTGAGACCGTTAATTAATTTATTTTTTGTCTTCTTCAAAGATATTTTCAAGATTTAAAAAAAAACCCGCTACAGATTTGATAGCTTTCTACTAAATACAAAATTTCGCTTTTTTAGCGGTTAAAAACGGCTAAAAATCGGCTTAAACTGCTAAAAAAAAAGATAGAAATCATCTAAGTATAAGTTTTTTTAATGAAAATATATTTCTTAATATTATGTTGAAAATATAAATTTTATTTAATACAAAATTTACTTGGCGTTTTATCCAATTCCTTTTCGAAATCACTTTAATAATAAAAAAAAAAAATTTAGTAATTTAAAAAAAAAGATATTTATAAATTATTCAATTAATTAACATTATAAAAATTACAATTTTCTTTACAATTTAAGAAATCATTTATAATAATAAAAAAATATATATATTTAATTAATATTGTATTTACTCTGATATTACGAAATGCATATCGGCTTCTTGGGATTGTAATTTATTGTTATGCTTAGCGAAATGCCAAACGCTCCCAGAAATATTCCCTGGAATATATGATCTATCCTGCAAATATAGGAGTGCATTGTTATGATATAAATTTTTTTATTTTTCTTTCCTCCCTTCCTTCCTTCCTTCCTTCCTTCCTTCCTTCCTTCCTTCCTTCCTTCCTTCCTTCCTTCCTTCCTTCCTTCTTTCCTTCCTTCTTTCTTTCCTTCCTTCCTTCCTTCCTTCCAATTTTATGAAATTACGTCAATTAATTTTATCGCCTTGACACGGAAAGCGAAATTTTGTCCTATCGATTTATCTTGGTAAATAAATTGTATAAGTTTAAGTCTATACCAATTTTCTTAATCTACATATAAGGAACCTCAAGAATTACAGTGAATATTCTAATCAGTAAATTTGTTTTGATAGAGAGATTTTTTGAGATATTAATTACCCCATTCATTATTCATGTAAATGACAAAAAAAAATGGAGAAACACTGATTCCCTTATTTTCAGACAGTTCTTGTACCATATTATATACACATTTAAATTTTAAATTTCTATAAAAATAATATAATAATTTAAAAAAAAAAAAAATATTTTAATAATTAACCAATCAATAAATCTTATTTATTTTTATATATCGTAACCAAAAATATTAATTGTATATGCTGCTTCTAAATTTTGGATGCTTGTTCCTAACTAAATCATAGCTAATGTCTTGTTCTTCTGGATTCTTTTCTAAAGTGGATTCCATTTTGTAGTGTTCATCGTTTTATATGAAATGGGCTTCCTTAATTTTAATATAACAAAATGATTTATATTTAATGTGTAAATTTCTTTAATAAAAAGTAATTTCGTATTTATACAGTTT